GCCTCCTGCTGGGCGTTCTACGACCCGGTGACTTACCAGTTCTTCAGTTCCCAGGACGTCAGTTTCGAAGAGTCAGTCTGTTACTACCAGAGTCGCCCCCACCGAGATCCTGAGGTCTTTTCCCCCCCGCTGTTCCTCACACCCATGCCCCCCCCAGTCGCCCCGGTAGTCCCCCCCCCCCTCGCGTCCAGCCCCGTCAGGTGTGTCGCACTTCACTCCGCAGTCGTCTCCCCCGCAGCGTCCGGTCCATGTCGTGTCTGGTGGTGCTGGAGGTGCAGCTGCGGAGGGTGAGGGTACCGGGGCTGCTGGAGCTGGTGGTGCCGGCTCTGGGGGTGCAGGGGGTGTGGGTGTGGAGGCCACTCCTGTGGAGGACACGGCAGCCTCGAGCCGGCGGCCTCGCCCCGCCTCGCCCCCTGGCTTCCCGTCTGTCCCGCAGTTCCCTCCTCGTTCGTCTCTGCGGCCGGTTGCTGCGGAGCCTGGGGGTGTTCATGCGGGAGGTACTGGAGGCACCGAGGGTGTCGTTGGTGGAGGTTCTGGTTCTGGGGGTGCTGGAGCTGGAGGCACTGACACTGCGGCACCTACACCGCGCACTGTACGTTTCCTGACCCGTGAGCAGCGTCTTCTACGATTTTAGAGAGAGGAGCTGGAGCGGTTTGATAGGGCACAGCAGCAGCAGCAGCAGCAGCAGTAGCAGCAGCAGCAGCAGTCTCAGTCGCAGCATCAGGATTGGGTAGAGGAGGAGCCACAGCCACAGCAGCGGGTACACTTGCAGCCTCAGCAGGAGAGAGAAGAGGAGGAGTCACAGCCGCAGGAGGAGAGAGCAGAGGAAGAGTTACGACAGCAGCAACAGGTGCAGTTGCAGCTGCAGCAGGAGAGAGTAGAGGAGGAGTCACGACCGCAGCAGCAGAGGGTAGAGCAGGAGTCCCAGCCGCAGCAGCAGGTGCAGCTACAGCCGTCGCAGGAGAGGGCAGAGGAGGAGCCACACCTGGAGCAGCAAGAGCAGCAGCTAGGGCAGGTGCCGCCGCAGCAGACGCCAGAGGAGGCGGAGCAGCAGCGGCTGCGCGACCTGCCCGACCCAGCACCTGCACTCTTGGTTCGTGGTCCCCTACCGTCCCCCTCCTGTTCCCCCTGATCAGTCCCTTTTCCTCGTCCCCGTGGGCTCGTCGTGCTCCCCTCAGTCGTGCTGTGTCTCCAGAGCCTCACCGGTCTCGTTACCGTGCAGACGGTCCGTTTCACCTTGTTCTCTGATCTCGTGTTCCACCTCCTCCGGTCGTTCCATAGCCTCCTGAGTTGTCCCTTACTGTGTTTCCCGACCCGTTGTCCGTCTACCTCCGTGCCTTCCGTCCTATCGTCTCGCGTGTTTTGTCCGCGTTGGTCACTCACCCGACTGCCCCTCCGCTGTCTGTCTCGGCCCTTGTCACTACTGTCAGTGCCTTTGCCTCTTCTCACTGCCTTGACTACGCCGCCCACCTGGTGAGCAACCCTGCTCTTTCTCCGTGCACTGGGGGTGCTCCTGTTTTTCCCCTGGAGGTCCTGAAGGACCGACAGTTCCAGCTTGGTTTCCTTGCGGCCACTGTTCCTCATCTCTGCGCCATGCTGCTTGCCCCTGAGGGGGATCCAGACGCCCTTGACATCCCGATCCCTCGCACTCACGCCGAGGCAATCTCGGGACCTTGGGCCTCGTACTGGATAGCAGCTAAGGGGGCAGAGATGTCATCTTATAAATCCACAGGCACCTACGTCGACGACGTCCCACCACCTGGGGCGAACGTTGTCAGTGGCATGTGGCTGTACAAGGTGAAGCGGCCGCCTGGAGCACCACCGGTGTTCAAGGCGCGCTACGTGGCGAGGGGTTTTAGTCAGCGAGAGGGTGTAGACTTCTTCCAGACCTTCGCTCCCACCCCGAAGATGACCACTCTTCGGGTGTTGCTGCATATTGCAGCACAGCGCGACTACGAGTTGCACTCCTTGGACTTCTCCATAGCGTTCCTTCAGGGGAGCCTGCACGAGCAGATCTGGCTGCGTCGTCCGCCTGGCTTCACTGGCTCTTTCCCTCCTGGGACCCAGTGGCAGCTGCGTCGACCGGTCTACGGCCTGCATCAGGCTCCCCGCGAGTGGCACGAGACACTTCGCACGACTCTTGCAGCGCTTGACTTCTTTCCGTCGTCTACTGACCCGTCACTGTACGTCCACCATGGCTCGACCCCGTTCTTTGTTCTGTTTTACATTGACGACCTGGTCTTCGCCACTCCCGACCGACGCGCACTGGCCTCTGTGAAGGAGAAACTGCAGAGGAAACACACTTGCACTGACCTTGGTGAGCTGCAGCGCTACCTTGGTCTACTGATCAGCTGGGACAGGGCAGCTCGCACCATTACGCTAACGCAGTCGCAAATGGTAGAGCAGATCCTCGTGCGGTTTCGCTTCCCGTTCTCCAAGGTAAAGCTCACCCCTCTTGCTGTGGATTAAGGGCTCACGACTGCACTTTCGGACGAGTCGTTTGAGTTCAGTGGTCTATATCCTGAGTTGGTGGGTTGTCTCATGTACCTGATGACTTGTACTCGCCCAGACTTGGCTTTCCCTCTTAGCGTCCTTCCGCGCTTTGTTGCACCGGGGAAACAGCGAATTTTCCACTAGTTGGTTGCTAAGATGGTGCTAAAGTATGTGGCGAGCACATCAGGCATGAGACTCGTCCTTGGAGGGAAGCAGCCAGTTACACTCGCAGGTTACGCTGAGACAGGGGTACTGCTTCAGCCTTGGGACCGGAGCTGTTTCGTGGAGGTCGACTCGGGCGTCGTCCGTCTCCAGTTCCAGCTGTGAGGCAGAGGTGTACGCTGCGGCCATGGCTGTCCAGGAGCTTCGCTGGCTGTCTTTCTTCCTCACCAACCTTGGTGAGCGGTCTCGCTCTCCCCCAGTCTTGTTCGCTGAAAACAGGTCTGCTGTCCTGTTGTGTGAGGAGCCTCGACTGGTTGGGAAGGCGAAGCACATCCAGCTTCGTTCCTTTCTTCTGCGCGAGTTGCAGCAGCGTGGCCACGCCCGTGTCGACCGTGTGGTCTCTGAGGCCAACACTGCAGATATCTTCACCAAGGCGTTGCCGCCTTGTGACCGCCAGCGCTTCTGCACCCAGCTAGGCCTTATGTCTACAGGCCCTCACTTGCTTGCGTAGAGATGTTTTGTCTTGTACTCTTGCATCTGACTATATTTTCTATAGTTCTGCTTGTAGACTGACTTTGCGGCCCCTTGCTTGTTATCTGACTGTGTGGTGATCTTGAGATCCACTCTTAAACTTGCCTTATTCTTGTGGACTGGTCTTGTGACAGTTGCTTGTTGTTCTTGACTGGTCATGTGACCCTTGCTCTCAGACAGTGTAGTGACTTCGTGATCCAGCTGTGTGTTGCTTTCCACAGGACTACCGTTACCCAGACTATGGGGATGTGTCAAACTATGATTGTATGGTTTGTACTTGTTAATCTAGATAATGTACACTCATTTTCTAGGGTTAGCTTAGGGTTGACCTATATTCTTGTTGTTTGTTTCATTCTAGCTCGATTCACTCGATAATTCCTAGCGTAACACTTCCTTCATTCATTTGTTAACTTGTTCTCTCTCCCGCTCCACCTATGACGACGAACAACTTAGCTTCTTCCTATGTCGACCGCCGAAGGCACTCCCGCGGGTGCGACCAGTGAGATACCTAGCGCATTCTGTGACGCTACTGCCGCGCCTCAGTTTCTTCCAGATACATATTAGGTTATTTTAAGCATTACCGTGTGCCTACCGTCGGCAACAGCAAAGGTGCATTTTGCAAGTATTGTAACCTACAGTTTCTCGGATGTGCTTTTCGCTGTGCACAGCACATCACGCGCTGGAAGGGATTGAAAAATCACGACATTGAATAGTTAGTGTAGTACGTCCAAAACATGTTTTTTGGGCCCAGCCCGGAAATTTTTTAACATGCCCGACGGCGTATTTTCATCGTTTTCTCAAACCACCCTGACAACGAATGTCGTATTATACGGCGGCGTATATACGCTGGCGTATAATACGCCAGTTGCGACTGTAACGCAGCCACTAAGAACAATTGGCAGATCGGACGACCCGTCTCGAGTCACAGCCAACCCGACCCTATATGCCCGGATCGGGTTGTATCCCTTGGGTTCACACCTGCGGTTGGATCGACCCAACCCGACCCGACCCGAGGAAGCTGGGTCTGGTTGGTTCTATCCGCAACCCTATCCGACAGGGTCGAATGCTCATGCCTATCTTGGCTAGAACAGGCCTACACAGTGAGTGTACTGTCTTAGTACACTAATCTACCATCCATCACATTAGTTCTTCGCTATTTCAGAGCCACTCGGGATCATGCCCTCACGCTTGAGGGTTACTCACTCATTTGACATTTCGTGGGCTGATAATAAGAGCGATTGACACTCTCCTCATTATTATTGCATTACCATCAACAGTGGGTTTGTGAGTTGGTGCTCCACTTGTTTGTCCTCTATCTCACTAGCAGAACTTTATGCAGAATCCATGGATGCCCAAAAGGCCCGTTGGCTCCTCTTCATGCTTGCCAAACTCGGTTATCCTCAGCCAATTCCTACTCTTTAGTCTGATAACGACAGTATTATCCATCTCATCAAGGACCTACATTCCACAACAGTACCAAGCACATTGAGATCCGCCACTATTTTCGTCGTGAGCTCATGCAGCAGCATAGGTTGAGCACATTGTACTTAAGTCCAAGTGACTTCTTTTCTAACCCATCAATTTCTGGTTCTTTTTCTGACAACCACGAAAGCAGCACACCCCCCATGCAAGCACCTCATCCCCCATGCAAGCACCACTCTCCTATGCAAGCACCACACCATGCAAGCACCACTCTCCTATGCAAGCACCACACCATGCAAACACCACTCCCAGGCACCACTACCAAGCACCACTCCCAACGCAATAAGCGACTGACAGAGTGTGCAGATTCGTGAGTGCAGCTAGCTCCGATGTTAGACCGCCAGTGAACCTGTTCCTGTCCAGCCGGCTGAAACCGCGAGATGAGCAGTTGGAGGAGGGAGAACAGAGGGAGGAGGGTGAGGAGAGAGAGGGGAGAGAGCAGGGGGAGAGGGAAGAGGAGGGGGAAGGGGGAGAAGAGGGGGAGGAGAGAGAGGAGGGGCAGGAGGCGGAGGAGGGAGAGGAGGATTAGGAGGGAGAGGAGGGAATAAATGGGCAAAGTCATGGTTGGCCCTTCAGGCAGTGGGCAGCCAAAAGACAACTGCAGTGCAAGCATGGCTGATGTGTCATTTACAGTGTTTGACCGGGTTTATTACATCGACGCTCACTTCACTTTGTGAAGACTAGGGTCAGTTTCAGCATCAGCATTGTAAGAAACACCTCCAGAGTTCATAACGGACGTGAGTCATTATGATGAGAGATGCAGTCTGGGCCGGTCAGGGCAGAATAGGCCAGCACAGAAGAGAGGGCAAGGGTGGGGGCAGTGGTTAGTTACAGAGCAGTGAGTGCTGTCATGTTGGCGATCCATGGAGGAATGCTCCCTGAGAGAGAATTGAGCCCCAGGCGCCTGCAATGGTGCCGTGAGGCAGGGAAGTGCAGTTCATTAATTCTTGAAGAATTCTCCCAAGTTCATATTCTTTTTCTTCTTCTTCTTTGTAAGGCTCCTGCAATGGCGCTGTGGGGCAGAGTGTTGCAGGAGGTGCGGTCTTGGGGAGGAGGTGGGATGTTGGAGCGTGTGTGGAATGAGAAGGGCGGACGGATAGCAAGTGAGGGCTACGGAAGCAGGCGAGTGGAGCAGCAAAAAAAACAGCAGAAGCTGTCTAATAATAGCAGTAAATATAAGTAAGAAGAATAGTTATTTATGCAAGCTTGATGGTTGGCGCGGTGGGCACAAGTTAATGGGGACGACGCGGGTAATGGTGAGGCACAGAGGAAGGTGAAAGGGCGAGACGAAGCGCGGGGAGGCAAGGGGTAGGGAGGGGAGGGGAGATCAAGAGAGGGGAGGCGAGGGGAGAGGAGAGGGAAGAGCAGGAGAGGACAGGGGAGGGGAGGGGAGAGGGGAGGGAAGAGCAGGAGAGGACAGGGGAGGCGAGGGGAAGGGAGTGGGGGAGGCGTTGGGACTGACAGGTCCTGCAATTTGGAGAGGGTGCTCATGGTTTGGGGCAGAGAGCCACTCAGCGCTGTGCCTCCCAGGTCGCTGGGGAGGGCGGGGTAGTTGGGTGGGGTGTGAGGGGGACGAGTGGGGGGAGTGAAGGTGGTGTCGGGTGGAGGGAAGGGAGGGGTGAGAGTGGTGGGAGATAAAATATGGCTGATGAGAAAGTAGACAAAGCATGCAGCATTGCACATGCATGCATGCACATGCGCGCTCATGCACACACACACACACACAAAGGAGTGCTCTCCATAACCCTCACAACACCGTTCCCCTCCTCCATGTTTCTCCCCTCACATCCCCTCTCTGCACATCCTTCTGCTCCCCCCATATTACCCTTTTTAGTTACTCCCATCGTGCTGCTGCACTCGTGCCGTGCTTGATGCTGCACTCACAGCAGAGTGAGGCGTGAGAGGGCGCTGATGCTGTCTGGGATGGACGTGCTCAGATGAAACCCCGGCCAATAGCTGCCATGGTTCCACGGACCCAGGGCAGGCGGGCGTAGGGAAGGGAGGGAGGGAGGGAAGAAGTTGCGGTGGAGGAAGTGAAGAAGAAGGAGGAGGAGGCGAGGGAATGTGGAGGGCAGTGCAGCGGCAGTTTGCCAGAGCAAGTGACGAATGGACGATCGGAATTCACCCCGTGGAAGAAGAACGAAGTGGGACGTGCGAAGGAGGGAGGGCGGGGGGAGGAGGGGGAGGAGAGAGGGAGGAGGGAGGGAGGAAGGGGGGAGAAATGGAGGAGGGAAGGAGCGGGGGAGGAGGGAAGGAAGGAGGGAGGAGGTAAGGAATGAGGGAGGAGGGAAGAAAGAAGGCAGACGAGGGAAGAGGGAAGAGCAAAGAGCGAAGAGTGGCACTAGAATGGCAGTGGCGGCGTACAGGGCGGTAACCATGCCGTCCTCGTCCGCCACCACGGCAGGCAGCATGTCCGTATTCTGACTCCCCAGCGTGTAAAGGACGGCTTCTGGAAAAGAACAAGAGTGGGGAAGAAGTGGAAGAGAGTGGGAGTGAGAGAGAGAGCGTATGTACTACTCTTATATCAATGCATGGAGAGAGAGAGAGAGCGAAGTGTGTGTGTGGGAGAGAAGGGCGGGAAAGAGGGAAATAGTTCAGATGAGAAGTAGTTTGGATGGGAGCGGAGTGCGTGAAGTTTGTGTGGGGGTTTGTGGATGAGCAATGGCGGAAGGTCATTGGACTCTTAGCAACAACGAAATTGAAGTTCCGAGCAACAGCGAAATTGAAGTTCCGAGCAACAGCGAAATTGAAGTTCCGAGCCAACGAGGACGTCGGCACCAGGGGGGACGAGTGCTAACGCCGGTGGGCTGTGTTAAAGGGCATCCGTTGGGCCTAAAATAACACCGTGGGTGGGCGTTATACCTTGGGAGAGGAGCAGTCCCGTCGTTTGCGCGCGGACGCACATGCCGCCGGCAAGGACGGCGAGGAGAAGCACAACGAGGCCAGCCGACTGTGGCGGGGCGCGCGCTCGCCGTGCCATGGATGTAGTAGCGGACCGGTATGAAGAGGGTCCGAAGACCGGGATTTCACTCGCGACCGACAGTACAGTAGAGGCGTCTACGAATGGCGGTTGACGATAGCGGCGTATCTTGCGAGGAGGATGGCTGGGAAAGGAACTTCCTTACGAGATGCACAACGGAGGAAAGCTTACTGTTGGAGACAGGGCTTGTGAGAATAAAGAGAGGCGATGAACTTGGAAGCTGGAATTTGGCGGTCCCTGTGCGAGTGCTTGCTTACCGTGGGTGGTGGGAGTCCGATGTGATGAAATTATTGACACAAAAAGCACAGCGACAACACACACTGTGTTTGCGGGGAGAAAGAAGGGGGGAAGGGGGGAGGAAGGGTGGTGGAAGGTGATCCAGGTGACTTGCCGCGTTCACCCCACCTTGCGGGAGAGGAGTTGACCCGGCTTGACTGTGGCTGGACTATTCCCAACGCATTCGCCTAGTGTTGCGTTGGATTCTGAATTTCCGTTTACTGAGTCAGCAGGGCCATGTGCAAGATACAGAAATTCCAGTTTAGAGTCAATTTTCCAGATCTGAGTATATTTTTCCGATAAGTCCTAGCTGTAGCCCCTCCTCTATAGTCCCCTGTGCATGAATCTGTTCCGCAGCCAATCGGAGGACCCCGAGTTTCTCGAAGATTTGAAGGATCCCAACATTCACGGAAATTAATTTGCATGCGGTTTTTCTTGTATAAGTTTTATTGTATTCTGTCATTTGTGTGTACATCTGGGGCGCGCTCAAATATACTTCACATCGCGCGGTTCCCATCACGCTCGACGGTGGCATGTCATGACGCTCGTTGCCCGCAAAAACAAAACAAAAAATCCCATAGGGAAAACCATCAAACCATAGAATTAATGCGCCCTAAACCATCAACTGGCGTGGAGATTTGTTTACTTCTGCCCTTCAGTCATGCGACAATGGTCGACGCGGAGAACCGCGCGATGGGAAGTTGAAGTGAGCGCGGTACGGATATACGAATAATGACAATCGGCAAAAAAAAACTTCAGCGAAGCAAAAACATGTGCTGTAGTAATTCTTTCGGAAATTTATAATATAGTCCCGTTTGCCAGGGGCACAGTAAGTTTTGACACATAATCCCGCGCCGCGCGTATTTTTTTGTCGGATTGTAGACGAGAACATTTGTGTGCGTATTGTTACGAGTGCAATTAAGTGAGCGAGCTAAAATTGCACTATCGAAGCAAACAATATACTGGGCGAGTGTTAAACAGTGAAAGCAATTGGTAACTGTAACGTGCTCGCGAAGAATACCCTACGGGCCTAGCGTCGAGGTTGGGAAATGTTGAGGCGTAGGGCTGGGCCGCCGGTTACCAGCCGAACCGGGTGTTTTATGCGCGATGGTTGTGATGGCGGGAACCGTATCGAGGCGAGTGTCGCGAGGTGGTAACGGGAGACTATGCGGGTGCTGTGGCTGGAATAGTGATGTACGCGGTATGCATTGTGATGCGGAGTGAGGACAAGTTATTTCCTTACACTACCCACCCCCCCCCCCCACCCCCCCCCCCCCCCCCCTCCCCCCCCCCAAGGGAGGCCCTTATGAAAGCGCGTGGATGTCGCGGAAATTTCGGCTGCGCAGATACTCGGTGAGGACGGGGTGGTTTTCGATTATGACCAGGGGACCGCGTTGGGCCCCACGTGGATCGCGTACTCGATGACTTAATATTTTTTCGGGCGCGATGATTGGTTCGGTGGGCGGTTGGGTCATGCTGGATGGTCGGCTGCGTGGCAATTGACTCGTTCATAGGACGTAAGGGCGGAGGAGACTGACGTGGAAAGATGGGCTGACGTACCAGTTAGCAGGGAGGAGGAGGTGTAATGTTATGGGGGTAATCATGTGGCTTATGCGAAATGGCCCGCACTATCTGGGGCGTAATTTTGGAGTTATTGGTAGGCGGAGGTTCTCACTGTCGAACAAAACCAGGTCATCGGGTTGGTAAGTGACGGGGCGACTGTGGCGGTCGGCGTTACGCTTAGCGATGATGTTTGATAATTTTATTGCGTCTGCTGCCCGGGTCTGGGCTGCTTGTAGTACTTCGACAAATTGTTGTGCACGTGGGACGAGGTTGTCGGGATTCGGCGTCATAGGTACCGTAGGGTTCTGTCTGTAAATGAGGTAAAAAAGCGGCTCTTGGGTGGTGGCGGATGTCGAGCTGTTATAGGCGAACTCGATGAGTGGCTGTTGCTGCTCCCAGGTCGTCACATCGCCACACGTGGTGCGGATCAGCTGCTCCATGGTTTGATTGGTGCGCTCGGTCTGTCCGTCGGTTTTGGGGTGGTACGATGAACTGAACTGAAGTCGGGTGACGAACTGTTGCCACAGGTTTCTCTAGAAGTTGCTTGTATACTTTGTGTCGCGGTCGCTTATGATTGCTACTGGTATCATGTGCAGGTGAACGACGGTGGTGATCATAGGATTCATAGATTTGAATGGAATCATAGGAGTTGGGGGTTTCAAGAAAACCTTGTGAGGGAAGGGCTCTCCAAATGCTAGGGAAGGATGGTAGAAACCTTCGTAGTATCAAAGATGCAACCCTCATCATGAAGTTCTTGAGGTGTCACATGCAAAATTCAATCCATCTGGATTTTGCCTAGATGTAGCAACATTTGCAACCCATGCTAGAAACTTCTAGCCACCCCAATCCAAAAGTCAATGTTGCCTTCCTAACCACCCAACCAAATATCCCTGACCCAAGTAATCGCCCAAATAGATAATATCCCAAATCAAGATAAAATTTCCCAAATCCTGGAAATATTGTAACTTGGGCGATCTTGGTCGGAATATAGCGATCTTGGTATCGTTATAAAGCTCTGGATTTCTCCTGCGCGATCAAGCATTTAGACTTGGAGAAAAACATAGAGGTGATAGAATCCAACAGCCATGCTTAATGATATATGGTCCTGCAAATAATGCGGAGATAACTACTACAACGGGAGCTAGACTATGGGGAAGACACAGTTGTGAGAGGGATCATAGCGTTCCTTGGCGTTTTCTCGTATTTTCTTTACGCATACATTCACGGGGAGAATTGGGAAGAGTTTCACTAGCAAAAGTTGGAAACAAAAGTAGAACAAGCAAAGCAACAATAGACTACATCAGATGCTAGCAAGCATGCAGGTCGGCCTCCAGCACAGCACGGTCGACCCCGTTCCAGCTCAGCAAGGTCGACCGCACTCCAGCAGTGCAAAGTGGCGACTTGCCAACGTTGCAACTCGACGGTGTGCCAACGCTGCAGCAAGGCGGCTGCACAGCGTTGCACCCGCATGACAGCAGCGCACCCGTTTTGCAGGTGCTCGCAGGTGGTTGGCGAGCTGTGCCTCGTCACGTGTACAGCGCAGACGCCAAGATGACCACCGTGCGCACGACTGCACCTGATCCGCCACATCGACCTCGGGATACCACCTCCGAGGTCGGCTTCGCCAGAACCACCTGGGCGACTGTCGTGCACCCTCGCAGGACCCGTCGCCCAGGTAACTTGGTCGACCGGGCAACCACATCGACCAAGTGCTACTCCTCGTGCCCGTCGACCACCCTGGTCGATGACCACCTTCTGCTGACTGCACGAAGTCGGCCACATCCCCAGGTCGACCACTTCTGGTCGACCAGGCCTGCTGGTCGCCGATTGCACCTAGTCGGCTTCCCCAGGTCGGCATCACCAAGTCGACGCCCTCCCAGGTCGACCTCCCAAGTCGACCTCCCAAGTAGGCGCCCTCAGAAGTCGGTGTCCTTTCCAGGTCGACGAGCCCCACCGTCGACCACCGGTAGAAGCCGGCCGCCGGCTACCCAAGGTCGGTGGCTGTGCAGTGGCCTCGTGCAAGCGGACCAAGCTTGTCGACCTGCGTGCCCAAGTCGGCGTCGCCCACTGCAGCTGGTCGGCTGCGCTCCCCGCACACCCGACTACGAAGTCGGCTCTGTCTAAGATAGAATTGGAAGAATTGATGAGTAGAAACAAGCAGTATAAGGGAGGATATAGCAAACCCTAGGGGGGTTATACCCTCTTCAGCATAACTCAGTGTAACACCTAGACTAAACTAACAAACTAGAACAATTATAGTTTGACAGACTCCCGTTGACACTCCGCTGCCGCGTTCACGCTTGGGCCTCCGGCCCACACGGCAGCACCACTCAGAGAATAGCTCATTGACGTGCACACAACACACAGCACGCCGGTCACCGCACCAGCCATGCAAGAAGGCATGGCACCTACTGCTGCACGTCGTCGTCACCGCCGCCGACGTCGGCCAGGCGTACTTGGCCGATTGCGACGGAGCACCGGTTGAGGGCCGGAAAGTGCAGTGCCTTCGTCAGGAAGTCGGCCGGCTGCTCGGTGGTCGGGATGTACTTCAGCGTGAACTTCCCGCGCTTCACCATGTGCTGCAAGCAGGCATAACGCCGCTCCATGTGCTTGAGGTCGCCCTGCAGCCCCAAGCCCTCTGCAACCGTGATGGCCGACGTGTTGTCCACACGAAGGACCGTTGGCGTCCCGACGTCCAACAGCCGGAACTCTGCAAGGAGGAAGCGAAGTCGGCGTCCCTCCTTGCCGGCCTCGGTGGCCACCACGTACTCCAACTCGGTCGACGATAGCGTCGCACACTTGATGCGTTGGCTCGACCAAGAGACGGCGGCCCCTCCGAAGACGAACACGTAGCCGCCCGTGCTCGTCCGGTTCTGCTTGTCGCCGGCGTCGTCGGCATCCACGTAGCCGATCAGCTTCAGCGACTCTGCTCCACCGCCGAACTCCAGGGCGGTGTCTCCTGGGCGGCGAGGCAGGCGAGGCAGCGCGCCAGTGCTGGTCACTCCTCACCGTGAGGCCGCTCCCCAGCTTACTGCAGGCGAAGGCGATGTTCGGCCTCGTCGTTGTCGCCGCGAACTGCAGCGAGCCGACCTTCTGCCGGTACTCCTCCTCCTCACGCTCCTGAGCCTCCTCGTCGTCGAACATCAGCTTAGCGTAGGCGT